GCACAGTTGAAAACATTGACTCCGTCACTATGACATCCTTCTCTCGATGTGTAAAATGTCAAAGATTGGACATAGATCACGCCATCAATACACCAACATACTTGTATATACGTAACATCAGATATTCACAATGCATTTTTTACATCAGATTCCAACAAACAGATCACTGAAATGATTGCCCGGAGCATCCAGATGAAAACATGGTGGCGGTCTGCCACTCACCGAGGTCCTTGGGGCCTCGGCGACGGAGGAAGCCTCGGGAGAAGTGCATGGACAAGCCGTGCCTCGGCGAAGCCTCGGGTCCAACGGGGAGGACGGTGCCTCGATGGCGGGATGGTCTTCAAGTAGCTTGGACAGGTAGCTAAGTATGGGGAAGCTCTAAGCAGTTCTTTGGCTTGGGTGGGGTGTGCTCATATTGCAGGAAATCAAAGACGGGCGAAGGTTTAAGTTTCAGAAACGATATCTTTGCTGTGTTTTGTATGATTTCATCTGTGGACTTGAACAATATCCTTAAATTATAGTCCTGGTTTGAACATCCATCCATCCATCCATCCATCCATCCATCCATCCATCAATCAATCAATCAATCAATCAATCAATCAATGTGTGTGTGTGAGGACAAGATGTTTGCTCCTCTCGATGTTCTCTCACAAGTCCTGCGCTTCTTGCGGTGCCGCGACTCGACTCCAACTCAGATGGGCTTCGACCCCAACATCGACCTCAGCCATGGGCCTCAGATCGGGGTTCTGAGAGAAACGCATCGCTATGCGAGGAAGTAAAACAAGGTGCCGTTGTTGAGTTTGTTGGTGAAAATGGTCCTTCTGAAACAGATGTGAAGGGTGGTCCTTGTTGGTCAAAGCAGATGTGAATTTTTCGGAAATGCCATTGTATGCATTCCTTCCTTGCTCTCCCTCGACTCTGCAGGAGGTGGGATGATTTCAGGGATCAGTTGGGATTCCTGTGTATCTCCATCTCCAGTTTGCTTGTCAACGATCATCACCTACCAGGCCACCACGTTTTCATGACGTATACAACTAGTTATTTTTTTCACTTTGGTTGGTTCATCACCAACCATTACTGGGCCTCAACTTGGATTGCAAACTGCTGCACCTGCTGCACCCCTCTTCAGAACCCCAGCATCGCCCAGGTCCACGTCTTTTCCGTTCGCTCGCCCAGGCAAAAAGGTGAAGTGGTCCTTGATGCGGAGGTGCTGCCCTGCGGGAGCGCAGCCCCGCGCGGGTCAAGCGGGCGAAGCGGGTGAAGTGGGTTCCATCTGTCTTCCAGGTCAAGAGCCATTCATATTTAGTTTAGATGTTTAAGATGCTTCAAATCATTACAGATACATCCAGAGACTGAAGAGTGTTGCTTTGCATATGGTGTCCAAGATTTGTTGGGCTCTTCACCTCCTGATCGGTCTCATGGCCCCAAAACCCAAGTGTTGAAGAATTGAACGGTGTTTGGCCTAGTGAAATCGAGGACATGCACCAATTTCATGCTATGTCCATTTATGTTCCATGTTTCTTTTGTTGGAATTCGAGGTAGTCATAAAATCACCATCCTCTTTTTCAGACTGCTCAATGAATGCTGTTTTCTTCAAGCACCACCTCGGATGTGTTCTCAGCGACTACTAGTAGCGTCTTTGCTCCTAGTAGCGATGCCCTTTGTTACTAGTAGCATTTTTACGGCGCCTTTTGGGGGGTGAGGTTCATCAAGAAGTTGAACTCGACGGAGGTGAAGGCCCGGCCCAAGCGCTTTGGGGCGCTTGAGTCGAGCGGGGAGTGGCATGTTGCGTCGATGGCGTGAGTGGTGTGGCCCCTGGTTGGTACCTGAAGGAAGTCTTCCTTCAGTGGTCAACAAGGGTCAACATCTGGTGAAAGCAGAGTGGAGTTCTCCTAGTCAATATTTGTAAAGACTGGAGAAGACTGGTGTAAAGTGGAAGGAATTTCAGGTCATCTATATAAGTGTGCCTTTCAAAACGCTGGGGTTCGGTGACCCGATGGCTCAAGCTTCACGCTGAAGCTCTGAGCTAACTTTCCCTCCTCAAAGTGCCTGGTAGAAGGAAAGTCCAACCATGTCAACTTAAGGCCTTGCCTGACCCCCCTCTCTCTCCCGGAGGGGATTGGAGAGACCAATGCTAGTACAACTGGATTGCAGATGAAGTGCTGGTGTTGGCATGTGTGGGCAATCCACAGTAGGGGATGTGATTGGATGTAGCAGATGTCACTTCCTGCAGCAAGATCTGTGGGAGGTGACAGGGATCGATTTTCCTGTGGCAATGATGTTCTTACCAAGGCACTTCTGGCAAGATCTGGGTCATGGGTCACGGACTCTCAGTACTGGCAATTAGGGGTCGTGTTGAACAAGAAAACGTTTGAGGTGCTACTAAAGCAAGACATGAAGACAGAGGGGCAACAGAAATTTTGCACACATTAATGTGGACAAAGCTGTTCTTTTGTTTCAATTACTACTGACATTATGGAGTGTACAATATACCATGCAGCCCTCCCTCGAAAAACATCTCTTTGGGTGGCACTTCTCGACTGCCCGTCCTGGACTAGTCCGAGGACTTGCGCGTTGATGTTGAAACTGCGTTTTCAAACGGCATGGACAGAACCTCTTCGACGAGCTGGGTCAACGCGCGAGGAAGGCCATTCTGCCGAGGGGCTCAGTGTATTTCAGTGTGCCCTGAGCGCAGTGGTATGGTTTGTTAGAGACGCAGGATGTCCGACACGCAGCAGGTGCTTGGAACAGAAAATTGTCAGGAGTGAGCAATGAACTTTCTTCAAAGTTGTAAAGTTCACTAACAGGTGCTAGTGCTGGTGTAAGCAACAGCATCAGATATAAGCTAGGCAGCTAGGCTCAAAAATAGTGAAAAGTGACGAATAGTCAGCAGGTGGTCACGGGATTTCGACATGCAAAACACACTCACCAAAAACGATAACATGACCGACGCAAAAATACACTCACCAAAATCCTGATGACCTGCAACTCCACAACAAATGTTGATCGTCGCTCTATACACTTAACGTATCTTCAAGTTTACCACCGATCCCAGGAGTGCTATTTCGGCTACGTTCGATATGCGGTTTAATCCGGTTTGGTCGGGATGAGAAGAAAAGCAGGACCATGTGCATGGTTCCCTGGCTTTGACAATAACTGTATAATATTATATATATAAAAGATGGGACGGCCTAGTTGGGATTCTGGCTGTGTTGTTCAGTACAAAGATCACCTTTTTGGCCCAACTGTGAGCTGTCATGGACATCCATTCCCTATCATATGCTGACGATTCGTTCCTTTAGAGGGCTCAACCCTCCCCACCCAGCTCCCTGCGAACGCCTCACCAGCTTTCACGCACTGCCTTTGTTGGATTTGTCCCATGCTCACGAAGAGTCAGTCAAGCGCATAACTCAGCATGAGTGTTTCACCACCTGCATTTTCTTCGGCATCATCGTCGTCCTTTTCATTTCTCCTCATCATCATCATCGTGGTCCCACTTACAGTAATTACTCATCCCCACCAACCTCAGATCGTCCAGCCCCTTCAACTGAATCTCCCCACTCCCCTGTGCCTTCCACTTCACTCCTCTTCACTCTCCACCCATCCATCCCACCGTTCCCGGGTGCAGCTCCCTCATCTTCCCCCAAGCGCTCGAACCGCTCCGGCACGAGTCTCCACCGAGTCTACACCGAGGGTCGACCTCTTTGATCTCCAAGATCCCGCGGACCTGGAGACCTGTGCGGAGATGATCTTCGTGGAGCGCCACGTGTCGCCCCGCCCCGTTCCGTGTTCTGTTGTTGGATCTGTTGTTGGCGCCACCGGTCGGGAGCTAGAAGATGGTGAGGTACCTTGCAAGATCGTGCAAGCTTTGTGTGTGCAAGTCTTTTGTATTCACGGAGAGGAAGACTTGGTGGGAGGCAGGTAGGGCACATCTGACAACTGCTAAGTTTTGTTGGGTGTTTTCGAATCGGTTTGCTGTTTGGCGGGAGGAGAGGAATTTGGACTCATGTTTAAGCGGGTGATGCCCAGTGAGGGATTTGCCTGTTTCCATTGTGCTGTAGTCGCGACCATTTGTTGATTTGGTTTCGCACTCTGAAGGCCTGTTTTAGACGAACCCCCAAAATGAGTTGCCAAAGTAAATGGAATATAGGACTAGGATTCCAAGCCCGTTTCAAACGGGGCAACAGTGTTTTTTTTCCTGTGCCTTCCAAGCGTTTGACAATGGGTGTAACTGTTACAGTGAGTGGGCCCTGGCGCAGTTTCGATAGTCTTGCCCAAACCACCAGAACAATGAACAGCTAATACAGACATATATAAACAAACATGTTATATTTATTACAATTACTATATAGGTATATACAATATACTATAATTCTAGTGTTTGCCTGTTTGCTGGAATCGGTTCGTGATGTTGCCAACATATTCAAACCATGGGGAAAAATTCAATGAAAGGCAACAACAGATTCTAGAGTCATTCTAGTCCAAGGTCATTTCTTCACGATGTGCAGACCCCGAAGCTGGGGCTCAAGCCCGCCGGCATTCCACAGATATCAACTTTGGAGAGCCCCCCTTCAGATCACGCGAGACGGCCACCCTGTGGGCCCTGTGTTGCGACTGCAGTGCTGCAGATTGGAAAACTTGTTTATAGGACTATATAGATATAATTGTTATGTAGTAATCCCATACATAGACATGTAGTTATAGAATATGTTACAGAAGTATTGTGTCTTTCCTTTGAGGCAGACTCTTATATATAAGCTTATTACCTCTTGGTTGCCAGGACCACAAGAGATTCACTCCATGCCACCTGAGCAGAACTGTTGACAAGTCTCGGAGCTCCAGACCTTTGCAGATTCGATTTGCCCAGAGTTGTTTGGAGTATTTGGGAGTCTTTTCCACGCAAATCGAATCGAATCTGGGCAAATCATCAGAGTCTCTGCAGAGTTACTGTAGTCATCATTAATTAGGTATGCTCAAAGAGCTGTTGCGTACTTTCAACATTCAGCCAGCTCAGCCGTGAGTGCTTTCGCCTGACCAACGTGTTGCGTTGTGGATATTCCCATGGCGAATTTCTCAGAGGGCGGCGAGCTTCGAGCCCTGCTGGAGAAGCAACATCAAGAACTTCTGAGGAGGTGACGCCCGGAATGTTGGAGAATCCATCGAGTTGGGATCGGCAGGGGGGAGCCGATGGAAGGAGAGGTGCCGTAATTGAAAACTCATCGGAAAACTGGGTTCTAGGAACTGGATGCGACATTGGTACAACCATATATCCCAAACACTCCATGGGACTGTCATATTTACCTACATTGGGGTGGTTCGAGGGGTCAATGTATAGCATACATGGAGTGTCTGGGTATTAGAGGAATCACCTTTTGAGAATAACCTAGATGAGACCTAGACCTAGATGTTTTTTTCTTTTTTGTTCTTTTTTCGAGGAACTGATCTGTTTGTGTGGGGTCCCATGAAAAGACACTGCCAGACCCTTTGGAAGTCAGCTTTTGAAATGCCCACTCGCAGGAAGTCATGTTGTATAATCTTACATCTTACCAAACGAGAAGTCATCCGAACTGGCCACTGGCCACCATGGATGAGTAGCATGGCTTGGTGGCGTTGACGCAGTTTGGCAATTGCTATAGCTGCTAGTTTGGATGTACCTGAATGTTCTCAAAGTCATCGTTGCAGTTTCGGATTTCTTTGGTGACGTTTCCAGAATGTTTCTGGCTCAACGTGAGGGGACCACAATGCTTTCATCTACTGAATCTACCTTGGTTCCAACTTGGAATATACCTATAGCCAAGCCCAGCCGTTTGAACAGGGACCGGAGCCTGGGCTTACAGTAGAAGAAACGTCATCATGCAGTGGTTATATAAGACTTAATCTCTACCTCAATGGATTGGGGCAGACGACTGTTTTTAAAGCTGCTATAAACCAGACTACGCGGGCCCCTCAAAGCATCCAAGTTTGGTATACACTCCTGATGATTCACTCCATTTGACCACCTTGGAGCATCAACCCCTCCCCCACCTGCACATCACAGACTGAGGATCCCCCCAAAAAGGAAGGTACCAGCACACACACACACATTCAGCGATCATCAGCGATCATTCCGACCCACTCTTGAACGGATCGCGACCGAAGAGCCGGCGGTTTCGCGACCGAACGGCCAGGTTAGACGTCCAAGACGTTCTCCTCTCAGAGATGCGACGTAGCCGGGGGTGCCCAGGATCAGCGGAGTCAGCGGACGCGGAGTCTGCGCAGAAAGCGAAGGTTTGACTGAGGGAGGTTTGAGGCGTTGTTCGATCGCGTGAGGCCATATGTGAGGCCATGTTCGTCTTGCAAAGATCCCATCACATGTTGCTTTGTTCTTTTTTTCACCAGGCCAGACCAAAAAAGCAGTAGAGATGGGCAGCATGGGTAGCATCTGGGTAGCATGGCCTGGGGAAAAGAGAGGTTGCGTCGGTTGCGCACGTCCTTCTCCTGAGGCTGGGCCCTTCCAAAGGATGTACCCAATGGCTTGGCCTCAGAAATGAGCCTGGAGAATTACAAGCCTCGAAGAGCCTCCGTGCCTTGAGCAATCGTTGGTAGGGCGGAAGAGCAGATGGGCAGTGTTTCTGTCCTGTGTGATATGGCTAGGCCTCCTAATGAATTCAAGGAAACGATAGCTGTTCTTCAATGGTGAGCAACTTTGCTTCAAATGAGGCAACTGCAGTGGTACTGGCTGGCTTTAGTACTTGGTGTGCAAGAGTACGCTGAGAATCCACGACATGTTGATGGTACCGGGCAATCTGGCTCAAGAGAGACCTCGATGATCGTGATTTTAGACATTGAATATGATTCCCAACTATCGGTTCATATATCAGTTCCTTCCCGTCAGTATCCCTATACAATTTCTGAATGACTGGATTATTGGCATTTTCGGGGGACCTCCCGTGACAGCTGGTGACAGAGAGGCAGCTCCACAGCCTCCGGACAGGTGACCTCTGCCGCGGAAGCTGCGCAAGCCGAGGCGGATCTCACGATCTCGTGGTTTCGTGGGATCTCGAGGTTTCACGCGGGGAAACTGTGTCATTCCAGATCAACCAGAACCCAATTTTGGACCGGGAAGGATTTGTTCAGCAGTATGAAGTAGGGGACTGTAGACCCCAAAGGCTCGGCCTTGTTTGTATTCTAAAGTGTTGTGCTTCGTTTGGTTGCCTGCGTTTTGGCCTCGTCACCATGAAAAAAGGTGTCCCTCTTAGCACTTGCAAGACGAGACAACCAGTGCCGGCGCGGCGCGTCCTGCCGCCTCCGCGAACTTCGCTCTCGCAACGCGCGTCCTGCCGCCTCGAACGGCGATGAGGCGGCGAAGAAGGTGCCTCAGTCGCCTCAGACCGAAGACATCCAAAAGTTTCGCCGGGATCCCTCCATGCGAAGCGCCAAGAAGGGCGCCACTCGGCGGAAGAGGTAGATCCAGCGGTTTGAAGTCCTCGTTTGGAAGGAGATCCGTGGTGGAAACCATGGAGTTTCCACCTCCTTGACCATGTGGAGAAACACATCGACTTCCATGGAACTTGTTGGGTCCTTCTTGTGTCGACTTGTGGGTACAGCAGTTTCTTGGATAGAAGTGATGTGTACAGAATCGAACGTCATAGAACTTCAAGCTTATCCAATCAGTAACATATATAATATATATATATAATACAAAGACATCATGCAGGAATATTGATGAAGGCATAGTTTGTCTTCCCTGTCACCGGAAAATACTATCCAGTTACGACATGCAGATGAGTGGGCCGGACTTGGTAATGAGATTGAACTCGTTCCGAAGCCCCAACATGCTGTAGTGCATTCTTTTTGATCAGAGACTCATTCTTTGGCTAGTAAAGCAACTAACATGAACACTTCGGACCAGTCCAGCACACCTCATACCAATGCATTTCAGACCTGAACAAACTATATATACAAAGAAAGTCACAAAGAAGAAAAGAGCCAGCACATTCCCGTAAAAAAAGAACTTTTGGAATGTGCACATGTCTCAATTTGAGAGAGCCTTTTGACCCGCATTGCATGCGGCCGCCTACGTCTGCGGGTCATGCATGTCTCATCTCTCATCCAGGAGGAGTCGAGCTGCCTTTCGAAGTTGGTGAAGCATCGCCTCTTCGAGTCCTTCTTCGGAGTCGTGGTGTTGACCAACGCCATCTTCATCGGCATTGACGTGGACCTCAGTGCGCGGGAGACCTCGCGGCCGATGGCGCTGCGGGTCATGCAGCGACTGGGCGAAGTACCTGCGGAATGTGCTCGCAGGGTGAGTCTTTTGCGCAGACATGTAGATAATCTTGATGAGTAAACCCGCCCAAACTTGGATGCACGCACTTGCGATGTCTTCTCGCTTCTACACCACCCCTTGCTGTTGTAGCGGGTGTGGGTAGAGTGGCCCAAACTTGGATTGTAAAACCTCTTCACATGGTTTCACGTGGGGTGTGTGTATTGATGACTCTATGCTATAATTAAGTGCATGTAGGCTTCTGGCACGACCCATAGCTGCTGAAAAAGCAAGTATATGAGTCGTAGCAGACGACAAGACGTGTAATTGCAGGTCGTTATGGTGGACTGTGAGTGTGTCGCACTCTTGTTGCAGGTGTTGTTTGGATGGTTTATGTTGATATGGCTGGTAGAGCTGAGAATGATCTGAAAAGTACAGACCGGACACCCAGGCAAACCACAGGTGCTTGCTTTTCCTCTTTGATCTCAATTTCTGCCAGAGTTCAAGTCCAACAAGTTTTGTCGATGGAGCCCACTATCTGAGCTTTTTGGTCGTTGGATCTGCAGAATTCACTTATATACAAAAGGTCTATCACTTGGGGACCAGAAAGGTGACTATGCGTGACTAGTTGGAAGGGACTTTGGTTGCGCAAGTGAGTGCGCATCTGGAAAGACTTGTCAGTAGTTAGACGATGATAGAAGCCAAGTTCTCAGCGCGTCAGCGCCCTCTCTTAGTTCACTCTTGTTCACACTTCAACGCTTCTCGAGTGCACTGGAAGACTTCAGAAAAGGCGATCTGCTGGAGTCTGTTGTATACTCTCCTGGAGTGTATGTGTTTCTATTTAAAGACAGCACATGTCCAGGTGAAATACCGCCATAGCCATCGGCCACCTCTTGGGCAATTAAAACGCGCCACCCAACTGATGGGATGCTTTATAAGGTATATCTATGCGGTGCTCTTCACCTCTGAGCTGCTGTTGAGACTTTGTGCTGCAGGCGAAAACCAACGGATCTGCCGCAGAACATTTCCACATGATCGAGGGTGAAACTCGTCTCCCCCAGTGATGTTGAAAGGACATCCTCAAGATCGAAGTGGTCACATTGCAGCATCAAGGGCGACGACTGACGATATACTTGAAATATCTTGAAATCAAAACGAAACATAGAGGTTGACGCTCGGGATCTCTCGATTCCAACACGGTATTCGCTCTGCACATTCTGCTGCTGATTCCATTCGATCTCCGGATTCGAGCTGTACATTCGACATATTCGACCTGCACATTTGATCCGGATCATGATGAATCCTATTCAAATCCTCCCACATCTGATGTGTTTCTTCTTCATCCTCGTGGTTTGCTTTGGTTCCACCCCAGACCCGTGACCCGACAGAGTCCTCGTCGTCCTCGACTTCTTGACCGGAGGCGGACACTTTCTGCGCACGGAGGATTGGGCCTGGAATCTCCTGGATGTGCCTCGTTCTTTCGCTCGACAGCATGCGGGTTGGGTGGGTTTTTCCATGGGTGGAAGACGCCTCAGACGCCCTGGCTTGTACTCGGAAGAAGGACCAAGACAAAGATCTTGATGATAATTTGTAATAGTCACAGCTGTCTTGTTTTGTATTAGTCACAGATTTGTGGAATTTTGTGGATGTTTGGAAACCCAAAACAGATCAAGTGTTGGGCTTTCCCGCGCCCTTTTTCCTTTCCTGCTTGATCATGAGGATAGGACAAAAGTGGCGGGTCAGATTTGGAGTTTAGAAAGACACACCAAATCATGGCTGATTGATTGATGTCACAGGTTTCTGTCCATGCAAACGGCACGTACGCCATGTTTTTCCATGGCATGGAGAAGGAGCCTGAAAACAACCACATCCAGTTTTCTGAGGTATTGGTTTCAGGAAAAGGTTGTCACCAAATGTCACAAACACGATACAACCCTTTTTTAGTGGGTTTCTCAGCCCACTTTTCCCTGTGAAATTTATCAACAGATTCTGCTCCGCTCGTGGGTGGCTTCGACCAGGTGTTGGTGGTCCTTAGTTCCCTCTGGGATGTGGCTGTGGACATTATTTCCATTGTTGGGACGACTTCAGTGGAAAGCATTGCCGGGGTCTCCAGAAGCTTGGCAGGTCAGCGAAACTGGGGGGTTGAGAATTTCAAGCGTTTTCGCTTGAAGAATCGCAGCGTGGTGAACCATTGACAGCCTCCTTCAGAAAGATTGAAGGCGGAACTTATTTGCTTTTGTTTGGTTGAGACATTTACGGACCTCGTCCAGGAAAGATGTAACATATATTATATAACATATAGATAGACTGATAGACTGTGAATGACTGTGACCTTTGATGACCTTTGTATGTCATTAATGTTGCATTTTCCCTTCCACACAATTATAGAGCCTCAGCCTCCCCCCAACCTTTGGTAGGCTTTTGATGAGTTGACTCTTCCAGGTGTTTGTAATGAAAACCAGATTTACTCTTCCAGGTGGCAGTTATATCAGGCTTTGGGGGCCAAATGAGGGGCAGCACAGGTCATGATGCCCATCAACCTTCAGCGCCTCCCCAACTCCTCGCTGCTGGCCCCGGATGTACTCATCTACACAAAAGGACTGAAGGTCTTACTGTAATTGTTTGCTCCATTCAAATAGCGAAGTCAAAGCGCTGCAAACACCACCCCCACACCTACTGTAATATCTGTAATTCTGTCCTCAAATTGCAAGCAACCAAGCACTGTTACTTGTTCCCAGATTTAGGAACGTGTTTTTTCCCAGGGTATTTGCAAAAAACTACCGGCAGCCATTCTTTTGGAAGCTCCTATGTTGAGCCTATCACGCAGCTCCCGTATCGTGCCGGTGTCGCGGCGCCGTGTCGTCCGAGGCTTAAAATCCTTTCGCATTATTCGCCTCACGCGGCTGCTGCGCACTGTCCAGTTCGTGCGTATCTTTCGCTTCGTCATCGCCTTGAGGAGTTGGTCGGGGCTCGCTGTTGTGGCGGGTTTGGGGGGGCCGGGCCCGCGTCCAAACGCTTTTTGGTGAGGACTCTTGGACCATCGAATTTCTTGGAATGACATATTCCAGGATGAGCGATAAAGACATGGTACGAGGCTGGGTCTATAAATAAATCACCAACCTGGATTGTGCTTGAATATTGTCTGAAATTTGTGCATGTAGTGTAGGAGGCTGTTGCTGAGGGACATGAACAGAGGCGTGTAGAAACACTATGGCTCGAAATCCACGGAACACTCAGGCGGTGGCCCACTTTCAGGCGTTCAGACCTTTGTTTCAGGCGCTCGCACGACCGGGCGCCTTGCCATTCCCGTGCGACACCCGGTAGGACCTTAGTGACCTCCATCCTTCACACGATGAAAGCGCTGGTGCCCCGGGCTGGAACTGGGAGCGTGGAGGTTTGTTTCAGTGACCTAAAGCAATGCCTGGCAGAACCTCAGAATCTACAGCGGGTGCCCATGGATTCCATGGATTCACCAAAAATACAACACGGGATTCGTCGCTTTGGCCTGGCTTCCTTGGATTCGTCGCAAATGCTGAAACCAAGAGTTGACTCTCCAACTGTGGGAACATGCAGACTGAAGAGATGTCGCCGAGACGTGGGTCTATGGAACTGAGAGAGCCCCGAACTAAACCTCTTGGTGCACGATCGAAACCAGTCGTAGAGGGTCATGGTGGAGGCAAAGAGCACTGCGAAGAGCATGCGACGACGCATGCGATTCTGTGAATATTCTGTGATACAGCGAGGTGAATCAGTGATTGATGTGTGGACGTTTTGGTGGTTGGCGCCTTTTTTTGGTATGTTGACGCCGCCGCAGCAAAGGTCTTTGTGGCCTGCAGTTCTGTTTTGAGCTACCTCAATGAACAGCAAATGCCCCTCAAGCCCCTCAAATTGGACGTCTCACTTTTATGGGACCTGTGATCAGATATGATAATTGTCGAAAATAATCATAGATGGTTTGCTCAAGGGACCTTTATTTGTATTTGAATATAGCATAATACACATACAACAGTACCATACTATAATACCTCTTCACTAGATCCCCACAACTCTTCACTCAAGCTGAAGTTGGGGGAATGGGAAGGTTGATCCCTGGTGAGTCTCCTTCGGATGAAGTCAGTGCAAGGAAGACACATGACGAAACACTCAGGTTTGGGCGCTCTTCCTTCTTCTCCTGATCGTGTCACTCGGCCCAGATCCGATGGCCGGAAGGAGGGAGCTTTTGAGGCGCTCAGCTTCCTCGCATCCGGTGACCTGGTCTCCAACTGCTGCTTCGGTCCAAAACCCTATGGTTGTTCTAAATCAAAACCCAAACAACGAAAGGATCCTTTCTGAGCCTTTGAGAATCCAATGATTTCAATGCCTGCATCTCAGAAGGAACGACCTTCTGGATGATCGCTCCAGCCCGGCTCCAGCGCTGATGGATCCCTGAGGAAGTCGACCGCAGGTCACAATAGCAAAAATACAGTCGACTACCTTTGCTGTCATTTGGGCCTCACTGTTACGCTTTGCACGGGCCTGTGTGGCGGCTGGGCGTAGATGGAACCCTTTATGAGCAATGGCCTTGACAAAAACGGAGCTGGAAGCGTTGGGGGATCAACGGGTCAAAATGAACTTGCGCAACCCGTTTGGGATCCCTCTGACCTTGCGCAGTACGATGCTCTCCCTGTGACCTACAGTAGATGGACCAACTATTCCAGGTTATTTCGTCCATCTACAGTAGTACGAACGTTTCAGAGCCGCTACTTGGTGTTAGCACTGCCATGCCCAGTTTGTGGGACAAAACCTTTGGCATGTGTTTAAAAGCATTACAAGCGGCCCAAAGGGAAGCTGTTTCGTTTGGTTCGGATTGCATGGATCACAACTAAAGGCTCAAGACTATTTTGCCTATACTTGTGGTAGGACATACAAAATTTGAAATGCACATGTCAATCAGGAAGAAACACAGATGTGTTGTAGGGTGACATAGCCTTTTGCACCTTTTCTGGGATCTGACCAGTCTGACAGTCTGAGACAGGGTTCTCACTGACCGCGTGTCCCAACAGCTAAGGTATGTCTTCGCTGTGCTTTTCACTCAAGCATTTTGGCATCAGACCGCCTTTTTTCGTTGGTTTAATGTTGGGTTGGGCCGCCCCTCCCAAGTTGCATGGCTGGGTGGCCATGTCTCTTTTCAAGATTCTGTGACCAGAACATCCTGCTGCTGCGCCATGTATTCAAAGATGCTTTTACAATTACTAAAAGAACCTTAGCAGAATCCTTCAGTGCATCATGCAAATAAGCAACAACAAACCCTGCATTGGTTTTGAGAATGGTCTTCATGTTTTCAGCATGCTGTTTCCCAGTTGCATGAACACATCACACACATCGGAACCAGCAGGACAACGCCGAAACCGCCATCCCAACGCCGTCCGGACTCGGACGGACGGACGCCGGGCATTGGATCGGCCACCGGGAGAAAAACAACGGAAGAACCACACAGCGAGATCCGAGGAACACGTGTGATGATGAAACGGATGCTTTCCCACAAGAGGACGGTATTGTGTTTGGCCAGGTCATCAGCGATTATTTCGAGAACGGAGGCCATATGACTGGCCCTGAGCTGGACGCCGCCCAGCGATACTTCGGATCCCTCACGGACGCTTTTGCAGAAGAGGAACGGAACGACCAAAGGCAGGCAGACATGGAGCATGATGAAAACAAACACATTGGAACAGGAGGGTTAGTTATCATACTGGCAATTGTTGTCATTGTTTTTTTTTTTTAATGAGTTGAATCTAGTCATTGATGGATCATCATATATAAATTAGTTAGTTTTCGAATGTTATCGATACTTTGCCTTTTGCATGCGGATCATTGTTGCGAGACAGACCTATTGCAATTCGACAACTTGCTGGGGATAATTTTTTTTGGCAAGGCGGTGTTGGCCAATCAGCTGGGTGTTCATATCACCGCGTTGGCCAATCAATGGCCTCCATGTTTGGAATGCAAGGGTGCAATAAAACAAATTGTCCAAGTTTGTCCCAATTATTTGGATGTTCTACCTTTTTGTAGGGATCTGTGGAATTCTTTGGATCTTTCAAGTTGCTTTTCCACACCAACGGCCACACGAAAAACAGGTGCAACTCATTCCAAGTTTGACTTGATTTCGGGTTCCTGAGAGCTCATCAGAAGAGCTCATGAGCTGACCTAATTTGTCGGATGGGGTGACCATGCAGGTTTTTTGGAGTGATTGTTCGCGTTTTTTGCTTTATTTGAGCACTTGTTGAAATGAGTGCTGTTTTGTGACCAGTGACCAGATGATATTTTGACATCGTTGGAAGGATTAACCAATGTTCGCCATGTGTTCAGCAAAGCTTCATGGTTTGGGAGTTTCCTCCTTCCATCAAGAGACATGCGGAGTTTGTAAACAAATCCCCCTATGAGATACCGACGCCAAGTGAGCCCTTGGATTGTGCCTTGATCGGATGTCCAGCTTCGAACAAAAACCCAAGCAGAAACTAGGACAAATCAGTATTAGAACAAGCCACCTGGTACTTTATCAACTGCAAGCTTTGGATGGTTTCACCGTGCTAAGATGTGCTAAGCCGAGGATTCCGTTTTGGCCCTTTGTTTGAGCATTTCCAATGGAGTCAGCTGGGAATTGGTGCTGATGCCAATCAAGAAGCTTGGTACTGTTTGGGTGACTTGGCTCACAGAAACATCAAATATTGTTCGGGTGTCCAGACCAATTCCTTCGCCTTAGACCATCCCATACCTGAACGACCAATTCCTTAGACAGTCCCGATCTATGGCACAAAAAGCCTCCCATCGAATTCCACCGTACGACCCCTTTTCAACGAACCGATCGTACGTGGAATTCGGTCCGGTCGTCTCGGCCCGGCCGTCCTGTCGCTACACCCGTGGTGGGTGACCGTGCGAAACTGAAAACGATCCCGGCTTTCAAAGCACTCCGGGGGCGGAAGAACGAAGGTGTCTGAAGCCAATCTCCTTGAACCAAACGTGTTTTTTTGGAGGAGCTTCCTTGTTTTGTAAGGCGACAAACTTATCAATATCTAGCTGTTCCAGTTGGCGATGTTGATGCCCTTCACGTCAATGGGTGCTCTTTGGACATTTTGGGGCTGTGACACTTTGTAACATGCCCCATGGTCCCATGGTCATCCACTCATTTGATCTCATTGGGGGGAGACCTGCCAACCAATGGGTAGTTGTTCGTTCATTTCCCAGTGGTCTTTGGTGCTTCTCCGGGTGTTTTTTCCTATATTGAGGGGCACCCTGTTTTCATTGAGCGCCCCAATGATGCCATGTTTTGATAGGAAATGATCGGGTTTTGGCTCTGTGAGGCTTTAGGATGTCCCTAACTGAACTGGAGAGATTCCACTCCACAGCCCTCAGGTGCTTTGTTTTCTTGGATACATGTCCTTCACCTATTTTTGCGTCTTAAATGTGGTCACAGCTGTGCTTCCTGGCTTGCATTTGCACTGGTGCACCACACATTTGCAGCAGCGGTGGTGTGTGTTGGGAAAGCACGGATCCTGTCTTGGATTGGATTGAACGATGGCCGGCTCAAGCACGGCATCCTGACTAGCTTCCATCCCTCAAACCCTCAGACTCTGACATGAGCTTGGTCGACCCCTCAGTGTTTCCCAATTGGGTTTTGCTTTCTTCAGGGGATCCAAATCCACTGGTCGAGGAGGGATGCAGCTCGGATTTTACCATGGACTCCCCCATCTAAATTGTGCCAGGACCCTGGAATAGGGCACCAATTGAGGTCATTTGAGACCTCTTAGGTTTAGTTGAGCAAAAGGATCTGGATTTCTGTCCCATTGGTTGCACCAACCCGCTGAGGTTCTGCCAAAGTGCGATTGAAAGCGCTCAAAATGACCAGATTACGATGATGCAAGCCATGCTGATGAACAAGGAGCAGCATTTGCAGAGCCTTGATGTCCAGCAATATGGATGGCCGCTGTGGAAACAGCGGACGTCAAAGACCTGACTGACTGGATGAGTGAGACAATCGAGGACCGCGTTCGAGCCCTGGTAGGTTCTGTCACCTGTAAAAGACCCCAGCTGAAAGATGTCGAAGGCTGCAAAGCTCTTTTCTTTTCTGAAAACAATATATATATATATATCCAAAAGCGGATTCTGGGCTCTACTGCTCTACTTCACTCCATCCTCCTATCTTTGCAAACATCCCTAGGTTCACAGCTTTCTTGGCCCTTCTGGGATTTGGGAACGGGAGAGGATTTGTTTGGCGACCTGCCATGGGATACAATCTTCCAACCCAAAGCGACCGTTGTCCACGGTTGCGAGCCCAAGCACTAGAACAACTAACTCTTGAGTTCCAGAAGCTATTATACAGTTAGAATATGTACATAACATATATTATACTTATAAGTATATATTATTTTACTGGTGCTTTTTACCTGTAATATGATATATATATACATAAGATTATGTATTGTATATACTATATTTAGCATATTCTTGTCCAACGCCTATGTGTTCTTTACTCTTCGTCGCGAAATATGTGCCCCCGTCCTTCAATCTATTGCATGTATAGCCCGTCCTGCTGCCGATCTCCGGGGAGAGCGAGCGAGCGAGCGAGCGATCTCTACTTTTCAGCCCGCTGAAGGAAGATCCAGCTGCTCTTTGAACAATTGGGAAGTGATGATAGCGAAGTCATCACTCTGAAGATCTTCGAGGACCATCCGGAAAGGGACAGGTACGGCGTGTTGTTGTAGTAGTAGTTGTTGTTGTTTAATGGTGTCATGTTCCTCATCAAAATGGGACATCCTTTTTCTTGATGTTCGCCAAGTAAGCGGCTGTGCACAGCCAATACAAGCAGACACTGTCTGTCGGTTTTGGTCCGGGATGATTCTCAGACCGTAGATAGGATGGATAGATCAGGCATCATGCGTGGCAACACTACATAAATATCCAAACCTCAGATGTATACATGTGATGTGATGCGATTCATGAGTCAGTTTGTTTGCTGACCCCTCAACTTCTCATCACCTATCATAACTATAATGCATTATAATACCCCCATAAGTCCCGCATATCATATCATATATCATTCTCAACATGATGGCACAGCCACCCTCATGCGCCTGTTTTTTTTCTTTCGGGGCCTTCGAACACACACGGGAGTGCCGTGTGCCAGGAGAACATCAATTCTCCCGAAGTGCGGGCCTATTTCGAAGCCTTGGGGCTCGATGTTTGGGACGACGCTTGATCCTTCGGGTCCGATCGGGGAAAAAGCGGGGTGACCGGTCTGACCGATTCGATGACGCCCGTCGTCTCACGACCCACCGGGAGCGAGGTCCCGGTCGTCCCACAAACCCGGACGGGGGGTACGAAGTGCGAAACGCAGCAGACCGGGCTGCACTTCACCGGCGCAACCGGCTATTTGGTTGGTTGATTTATGGGAAGGGGAGACCCCGGTCGTGAACAACCAATGCCAGGACCCTTGGTCGGGTCCTGGTTGGAGATCCCGCAGTGCAGGGTAATCCTGCCAATAGGTGTGTGGATGTATACGGTAGTCCTGCCCTTTAAACTATGCACGCATTGGCATGTTTCCCAAGTTCAGACATCATTGGTGTCGTGAGGCGTGGTCCTTCTTCAAATTATTGGATTCCGACGGGGGCGGCTCCGTAGATGTGGAGGAGCGGCTCCGATGATCGTCTTCGCGCTCCGCGAGAGTTACCGTGCTTGGTGCGCGTGGCCACACATCGGGGCGTGGCCATTCGTCTTTGAGGGATCAGATTCTTTGTTTTTGTTGGGATGAAGAAGTTTGATGAGTGAAGCGGCATGCTTCCTCCACTTCTGGACTTCTTCTCCCGGAAAAGGATCTGAAAGAAATATAAAGAAATATCAAACGTCGATCAAGGCTTCAAGTGTTCCAAGTCTCATGGTAGCTGGGGCCGGAAGAGCCTCATAGGGTCAACATCTTCATCTGTTCTACTGAGATCAGTCCTGCCGGACCCTTGAGGAGCTACTTGGAGGTCCCCAAGTCGAGAGGTTTGTTGGAACCGCTTTACCCCCAAGGACAAACGTCTACGAATCATCAATGTGCAAAGGTCAAAAGTTGATGCAAACCGGGTGTGCAAAGTTTACTTGTGGGCGGCACACCGTCATTATTGGCTTTGTTGAGCAGCTTCTTGCAGGGGCCTCAAGGGCTTGTTTGCTGTATGCACTTGTACCTAGAACAAGACTTGTCTCTATACAAAGAACGCTTTGCCATGTTCCGGATCTCCATGTTCCTCGCGCTGGCTTGAAGGAGTTCTTCATGGGCTGCTTGAGGTTCCGCGGATCTGCTAAAGCCATGGACGTGGGGAAGGTGATCCAAGACCAGGACGCGTGGGCGCTGCGCTGCCTGCCTTGTTCGCGTGCACGTTTGCGCAGCGCCACGTGTAACGTCGGCGATGTGTGAGTTGAATACGAGTTCCACTGGGCCAGGAGATGACATTCATAATATGAATATTTTTTTTTTTGTCCGGCTCTTTTCCGCAGTGGAAGGTCATCGCTGGTCTCATGCCAGCCAAGTTCTGATGTCGATTGATCGCGGCCTGGAACACGGGCTGCGGAGCTTCTGAGTCAGGTTGATCTCCTCGCCTTGGATGCGTGTGCGGAGGTGGCACAGGTTGCACTCCAAGCTGTTGCCAGTGCGGAGCATCTCGTGTGTAGGGTGCCCGAACCATTTGCTGGCCTCGAGAGGTCCATGATGGCAGACCTCTCCCAGGAAGCGGTGGAAGATTTCCTCACCTGCTCTAGCCAACACGTACCCTTTGCAACGGTCGCACCTGAGGTACGCTTTGTCAAGCCGTAGATGGTGTGTGCCTTCAACTGCCACGCCTTGGGCGTCCAAGAGATCGTGTATGACCTCAAAGCGGGTCTTCTTGGAAGTTCGACCTGGCACAGCATGCGTGCAAGCTTGTGCGAGGCCTTCCTTGATCTCATTGACCATGGACTTTGAATGAAATCGCTGCTTGCACTGGGTGCATTGCACTCCCGATCTGTAAGCTATCCATTGATGTCCCAAGGCACTGGGCTGAGACAGGAATTGCTCCAGCAGCTGCTTCTTCTGAGTAGCAAGGGGTATTTTCTGACTGTCAGGAATCTCCTCTCTCTTGTGAATGAAGTGAGCTTTGTCTTTGAGGAGAAACTCAATTCGTCTTGCTGCCACGTGAAGGATGTCTCTGGTGTCTTCGTCGATGTGGCGTTGGAGATCGAGGGTCTCCTCTGGCCTGGCAAGGAGAGCTGCCTGGGTGGCCTTTGCCTGTGTGTCTTGCTGGAAGGCCAGTCGATTTGGGCTGGAGTGCATTTCCTTGGTCTGGAAAAGGAGCAACCTGATCTGAGCAAAGTCCTCATGCTCCAGCCCTTGAGTGAGATCAGGGAATTTGGCATATGCCGTCCATGGATTCCAAGCGTCCCAGATGGCCTGACTGAAAACTGCCACATGAGCCTTGTCCCTCAAATGAAGAGACATGTGCTTCAAACCATAGAAGAGGGCTCGAAGACGGGTGGCTTCCCCTGGACAAATGCCGGTTAAGGAACCAACTCTCTCTTTGGTCTGGATGTGGTGGATGCAAATCGCAAAGGCAAATCTCTTGTGCCGTGGGTCTCTGCAAGTGGGTGCAACGGCTAGAGAGACAGCATGCCCAGGAGGGAGATGGCACGCCATGCCCCCATCTTTGATGTAGAAGATAGACTGAGTCATGCCTCGGTTCCACAGCTCCGGTTCTGTGCCTGCTTGAAGACGCTCCCGCCACTGGTCCGGGAGGGCAGGGACCTTGCCATCCCAAAAGGTGCACTCCCACAGAAGGTGGATGAAAGTGAGCTCAACACCGCACAGTGGACACTTGCCGGACTGGCCATGGAAAGTGCCTTGATGGAAGGCTCTCAAGGCAGAGTTGAAGCGCTCCGTGGAAATCTTCTGGAGCGTATTGCTGACCGTCCAATCCAAAGGACGTTCCAAATCGTGGCAACCCACATGCCTTGTCAGTCGGAGGAGTCGTTGCCAGCGAAATTCCTCTTGGAGCTTCTGATGGATCTCAGGCCAACCATCCGTCAAGCAAAGATGACAGTCAGGAATGCCTCCATAGCCGGTTCTCTTCCACAATTTGCCATTTGAGATGTCGAAATCATAGTCGAGGAGGTAGGCTTGTAGGGCTTGGAGAGGACCAGTCACAACTTGCCACCTGTATTTGGCTTTGAGGAGAATGTCCAAAGCTGAATTCCAGCTGATCCAAAAGAGGTGCTGGGCACTGTCGTCAAAGGCATGGAAAATCTTCCAGACCGTGTGGATGTGCTGAAGGATGATTGAGTCGCCCGGGTCTGGTTTGTTGGGATGCATGTCGAAGACAACATCAACAGAACCAGACCGCTGGAGGCGAAGACCCCGGGCAGCCATGACTCGGATTTGTTGTCTTCTTTGAGGGGCCAGCCCATTGGCCTGAGCGCCCCAGGTCATCACTGGATGAATGGCTCCTCGATGCAGCCTGTATTTGATGCTGGGATTGAGCTTGAGGCGCATCATGATCCCAGCCCTGCCTCTGCCCTTGAGGTATCGCTTCTTGATTTGTGCGACCCTTCTCCTCTTGGAGTTTGTGGCGTCAATGCCAAGGTCTCGAAGAACATTGTGGTGCTGAGGATCCCCTGGTTGCAGGTTGATGTCCAGGGCTTTTGCGGCCTCCTTGCTGCTGGTGAGGAACCCGGTTTTGTCAGAGTTGATCTTGAGTCCAGCCTGCTCAAGGCGTTGCTTCAGGGTGCGGAAAGCCAGGATGGCTTCACGGGCAACATAGTCAGGATCCCTGCCTTTGATGTCATAGGAGACATCGTCCACCCAAGTCTGCAGCTGAACGGCGGGGTGAGTTTGGACCAAATCTCGGAGAGGTCGGAAGAGGACCAATTTGGCTATTGCCGGAGCTTGAGGACAACCTTGAAGGATGCCTTTCTCGTAGTAGGTGGGATTGCCTGCAATGCCTTCTGCCTGGATGAGCCTCGGGCCAGTGTAAAGGTCAAGCGCTAGCTTCAAGTGCAGCGGTGGATAATGGAGTTCTTCGGCTGGTTCAATGAGGTGGTCAAGCTGCACTGTGTCGTAAAAGCAGGTGAGGTCTGCCAAACAGGTCACAGTGTGGATGCCTTGGTGCTTGCCAATCTCAGCCTTCAACATTCGTCCGACCGCGATGGAAAGGCAGTCTTTGTGAGGGCGTGCAAAGTCCCATGGCATATCCTGGTCCAAAGACAGCTGCCAGCGATGGAGCTCATGCTTCCGGTAAGAGTTCCACAGCCGGTAAAGGCAAGATGTAAGGGCAATGGGCCGCTCGATGCGCTCATTCTTTGGGATCATGACAATGTTGGTGTGTCGAAGCTGGATGGGAAGTTCAGCCGAGCGCTCCATCTCGGTGAGTAAAGAGGCCAACCTGGAAACAGCCGGGTAGGGGAGATGCCGTAGGAAATCGTAAGAGATGCCATCCGGTCCGGCTGCCTTGTTGGGGAGCTTCCTCATGAGTTTGCCCAGGAGAGCCGTGTCAACTGGAGGTAGTTGAGCAGCTGCCGCTTGTGCAATCCGTCGCAACTCCTGAATGCCTCTAATGTGGCATGGGGCCGGAAGCGGTTTCCAGATCTCTCCCCATTGCTGTTCTCGAGCTGGAATCCTCTGTGTGTGTGGAATGTCCTGGAAAGGTCGTTTCCAGCAATGGTCTTTTTTGACGTAGACTTCTGAAGAGGCCCCTGAGGCCCTTGTCATGAGCCTTTTCCAGCCATTCTCTGAACTCGTGGTTGGTGGCACTAAGAAGTTGCTGTTGAGCTCTCTCCTGTTCCTGATGGACTGTGGCTTGCAGCTCGGCAGGATCAATGGCCGCTCCAAAGGTCCACTGGGTGAGTCTCTCAACAAAGTGTGGCTGATCCAATTGTTTCGAGGCATGGTGAGCAAGCCTCTCCAGCATCTGTCGCAGATCATGCAGGACGCTGGGGTGTCTCTTGTGCTGAGCCACGTTGATCCTGACTCCCATCCTCTCCCAGTAGGCAGCGCTGCCTTTCTTCCAGACCTGTGGTTTGGAGGAGTCAATCAAGGGAGCTTGGAAGAGCCTGATGTTTGATCCTCGGCCCGTTGTTGGCTTCTGCAAGGTCTGACACAGGTACTTTTCAGTCTGTGTGGCCCACCTGGCAAAGTCTGAACCCAACCCAGTGATGGTCTGCCCAATGATCTCAAAAGGGCCATCATCTTCGTTGTAAGAGGTCCAGTTGTTCGGAAGTTGGTAGACCCTTGCGATGGGTGGGAACCGCTGAAGTTGCTGAACTGGCACGGCCCCAGTGGAGCAATTCAGCTGCAGAGAGAGAGAGCACAGTGCGGCTTCCAAGGAACTTCCCAATCCGCTTCCATGGTGACGAAACTGGCCAGAGAGGTGGAAACAAGGCAGAAGTCGAGATGGCTGCCCTGAAGTGTCGTGGGCCCTGTGGTGGCCACAATCTGCGCTCTCATCTTGCTGGGGATGTTGGTTGCCGCCAGCTCCTCCGGGGAAGTTTGCCAGTCGCCGCCGACAATGAAGGGTGCTTGGAGATGGTCCAAGAAGTGAAGCAACTGTCCGAGGATGTCTGCATTCAGCGTTGACTGCAGGGTTTCGCCAGTTCTGAGGTAGAGCTGGACGAGATAGGTGTTTTGGCCTTGACGCTCCATACATAAGGCTGTCCATCCATTGCCCTGCTTGGTGTAGTCGTGGATGTGATGGATGAGGTGTCGGGCAGGATGAAGAGTGATGAAACCCCCGGTTGAGCCTCCATTGCCCGTGGGCTCGGCTGCCACTCCATGACATTTCCATCCTCTGGTGGAGAAGTACTGCATGGTGTTATCGAGACTAGCTGTCTGCAGGTGTGTTTCTTGAAGCATCAAGATGGTGTCAGCCTTTGTCCAAATCCAGTCCTGTACTTTCTTGCCAAAGAAGGTGACATTGCCGAAGAGCAACTGCAAAACCTCTTGCGCCTTCTTGGGCTTCTTGGCCAAAGTCTCCGCAATCTCAATGGCCGTGTCAGGGACCAGTTCCGCCGGACTGGAGAGGACCAGCCAGACCTGAGAGATCTCCTTCATCTGTTGAGGCGAGATGAAGGAAATCGGAGTGGGGTAGGTTTCATCGTCCCCCAGCCAGTAGGCATTGTCTATGGCCAAGATGCTTTGGTAATGACCATTCTCATGGCCTTCTCCCTGGTGCAAAACCATAGCCACGATCTGGTAGGAGGCATAGTGCACATTGATGCCATCCTCAGAGAAGGGGATGTTGAGTCTCGTGGGAATTTCAACTTCTCGATGATGCTTGGTCCATTGCCCATGATGGTGGGTGGACCGCTGCAGATTCAGGACCAGCCCCCCTGGGGACCCATACAGGTACTGTCCATTGCCCTCATCTGCCCAGTGGTTGATGAGGTCGTCCAGGGTGGCAAAGGCCGGATCATCGGGGAAGAGTAGATTGAGCGGGAATTGTTCTCGTTCTTCGAGTTGTCCTCTGGTGCTCCGATGGAAGAATCTCCCTTCGAAGAAGGTGCTGCCCGCAAAGGACCATAAGGAATGCAGGAAATCTGCCGCATCAGCTTGATCATCCGCCTTGAAAGGAGCCCAGACTTGGTGCATGTCATGAAGGCCTTCAAGGAGTTGAGGCACGCTGTCAGACAAGTATTGCCGGACTGCTCGGTGTGTTCTGCCCCAAGCCAATGCTGCGTCTTCAGCAAAGCCTCCCGCCCAGCACCAGCATCTCCAGGGTGCATTGCCAAAGCACTTGTTCTTGGGATTGTGAAGAATGCTGGTGAGGCATTGGGAGATCACAAAAATGTTGGCCATCGAGTGTTCCACTTCTCCAGGTACCTGAAGGTGTTTGTGCACCAGGTTCTGCATGCGTTTGAGGTCCATGAGCAGCTGCTGCCCATTGTGTAGGGTCTGATGATTGCTGTAGGCCTGACTCGAGGTGTTCAGGTCCTGCACGCACAAGTTGTAGAGAGTTTGTTGCTCAAAGGACATTTGATTGTCCTGTTCATCCACCGTATGCAGCATCCTGGTCAGGGCTCGGATGGCGGAGGTCCCGAAAGTAGCAGTCTCCTGACGGGGCTGCTCTGAGGTAGGTGAGCTCGGTGCCTCCGGATCCGCCTGACACGGTGCCGCCTTGGAAGTAGTCAAAATCGCCCCCCCCAGGATCTTGGGGCCGCCAGTGTGTCTCCGGCAGGGCCCATAGCCCGAAGGTGGAAAAGGGCGGCTCGTGCTTGAGCCTAATTGCAAAGGTGATTCAACATGAAGTGCAAAACCCCTGCACTCATGTGAAGGTGTCCCCTGTTCATGGACAAGGTGCCATGAATCAATCCCCAAAGTAGACTGTTCACAGGCTGAGACTGAGGATGGGCTGTTACCCACCCGACGTTTGGCTGCCCGGTGCTGTCTTGCGTCGTTTGGTCTCTTCCTCAGCATCAGCCTCGTTTGATGGCCTCTTCAACATGACATGAAGTTGGTCTTTTTGCTCCTGGGTGAGGTTGAGTCCAAGTGTGCTCAGAAAACCGGAAACTGCCTCAGGGACTGAGTCTTTCATCTCAGTGTCCAGAGGTTGCAGTGGTTGTTCCATCTGCATGGCGCTGACTTTGGTCATGTAGGCCGTGCTGATGGTGTTAAGGGAGCTCTGTTCAAGTTCAAGCTTAGTCTGTAGAGATTTCATCTCATCAAGCAAGTCCTGGTAGTGCTTCTTGGTGCTGTCAATCTTCTGTTGCAGGATCTGCTTCCGATGCAAGATGTCCCTCAGAGTGGAGACTTGCTGCTTGAGCTTCTGGGCCATCTCCTTTTCTGACTCTGGTTGTGGCTTGGTGATTCTCTCAACCAGTTCCTTCACAGGTGCCGGAAGGCTGGCCAAATTCTCCTTGAGCACATCCGTGAGGTCAGGTTCAGTTGTTTTGGGCGTCGGATTGATGCCCAATTCGGTGAGCTTGGCCTTCATGGTTGGATCCATGGTGTCCCATGCTGGGGCTAAGATCTCCGCTGCATTCTTCTGGAGGCGTCCTGGCTTGGGTGGCCTAGCATGTGGAAGACCTGGAGGAGGGGTCAAAGATCTCGTTTGCCGAGTCTGCCATCGCCTCCCTGGCCGGTAGTTGGAGGTCTTGCCAGCCACTCCTTGAGTTGGTTGCTTCCAAGCAGCGCCACAATGCCGGCATGTATATCCAGGTTGGATCCTGTCTTCCCAAATCCAGTTCCTGCAGGTGCCCGAGGTGCAGATCTGGTAAGTCCTCGAGGCCCAGTCCATGGGAGCTTCCGGAGGTAGAGTCAGAAGAAGGTGCCTCGCTCCTCGTCAAGGATGATGTGCTCGAAGACACGAAGTGCCAAGGCGAAAGGTGGCGTCCTGATCCTTGAACCGAGAAGGCTTGAGCCTAATATGAATATATATATATATATAATAATAATATATATATATATATATATTGATACAAACAGTTTCGCGGGTCGTGCTCAATGATCCATGAAATGAATTTTGCGGGCAATCTGTGTTTGGTGATTAAGCAAGACAGTTTAGTATACCCTTTCATGAGGAAAGATTGCAAGTCAATTATACAATAAGAAATAATAGAATCTAGTCTTTCTCAGAAGCAAAAAGGACTGCACGACATTTGACACATGTCTTTGGTGAAGCTCGCAAGCTAGTTGGGAAGACGACATGGGGAGACAGGTCGGGTTTTTGGAGATCAAGAAGCCTCCACTGCTTCTTTGTTTTTAGCCATATGTGTCGATTCTTGGCTTCTCCAGTTGTGCAGCTTCTCCGCTGTTTCGAGGTTTTTTCCCTTTGCTCTACTGCTTGTCTCCTGCTGTTTTGCCTTTCTTGCTTTGATGTATTTCATGTTTCCTTCTTACGCTTTTCTGCTTTGTTTATGTTGTGTATTTTAGATGTTGTGTCTGTGTGTTTCATTTTTAGACATGATGTTGCTTTTGTTCGTTTTTTTCTTAGTTGCAGTTCTGCTCTATAAGGCAAGACGCAAGGAAGGCTGCAAGAAAGCGAGGAAACAAGCAAGACAGCAAGCCAGCAAGAAAAGAACATGGAGCAAAGAACAACGTTATGTTAAAATCCAAAACGCCCAGCACATGTTCAATCCAAGAGTGAGGCTAGTTGAGCTTGATACCTGCTTGTAGTTTGATATGCTGGAAAATGGAAGAGGGTGAAATAAGGGGTTTGCAAAAGTAGTGGCTGAAGCGAAAGAAGGGGATCCCTCAATCAACTTACCTACATATATATCTTCGCGTGGGAAGTTTGGGCAAACAGCCGCTGAATCAAGCAGGTGGAAGAACATTGTCAGGATTCGCCCAAAGTACGTTCTGATGTGTCATAATGTGTTCAACGTATCGGTTGTGTCAAGTTGTGTGCAACAACATTATCCGAAGGAGGGCTAGCAGTCTACCTCACTGAGTGTCGTGGGGGGTTATCGTGCAGGTTTCGAGAGTTTTCAAATCCAAAAAGCACTTGATCCGAATACAGCAGCTTGAGGAATGTTCACAGTTGGGTTACAGATCCCCATGAGATACATTCGGGGCCCAAGACCCGCAACACAGTCACATGCTGGGCGATGCTTGGAGACATACCTTTGATAGGCTTTGATCGTAGGGACCGTATAGGGACTGTAGGGGCCGAGCTGACCCGCGAGTGTGCCACTAGGCGTCCTTGATGAAGCATCAGAGCCGCTTCCAGAAAATCATGGAGGCACGCGTCATGAATGTACGGGACCTTTGGCTAGAGACTAGAGATCCTAGGGCCATCTGGATGATCTGGCTGGTTGGATCTTGGAAGATTGGCTTCATTCGAGTCCCCAACCACTTGTTGTGAGTCAGCTGCCAAGGTTTCTGGTTGGGGAAATCAGAGGAACGAACAGTGACTGCAAAATGCACATGAATGAGGATGGGTAACAGTATAGCCGTAGTAGAATTTTCCAGCAACCTGCAACGAGTGGCACGGTGAGGTGGAGCTTCGCCGCCTTCAGCTGCAGCTCTCGGAGCTCCAGACCTCTCTGCACCGCGACGGCGGCTCGGTGCGCCCGCTGAGCTTCGAGGATGAGGATGCGGCGGTTTGGTCACCCTTACGGTGGACAGGCCGGGGCGGAAATCGGGCGATGGGTTGGGTTGGGTTGGGTTGGAGTAGCAAGGAGTTTGGATGGAATTAGGACCTGAGTCAACGAAACGACCTGTCTCCCTGTCGAAGCGATCCAATCTTTGAAGATGCCAAGATGCCTTTGTAAAGCGGCCGGTGTTTGGACTGTTTGAGAAGGGGTTCGGTGCATGGAGGGACTGTTCGGTGTGAGGTGGGATGGTTGGATTTAAATCCATTCTGAATAATATATTAATACATATCAATACAGTATATATATATATATATGTAGACCAACAAGTCGCCCACAAGGAGCCAGACAATGGGTTGGAGGGGAACATGACCATGAACAGTCCATGGTACTCCATATGCAACTGCCCCCACAGTTGCAACAAGAATCACCAAGATGTGCTGTTGTTTGCCAAGGAAACTTTCTTTCGGTGTTTCTTTGCAGGTTCCATTCCGGCAGCGCATACTTCACACCGGAACACCGGTGTGTTTCACACCGCGCGAAACGATTCGCGCCAACCTGTCGGCGAACGAGACCTCCCAGTTGCAGGACACCGGACACCTTCGAAAAGACGTTGTTTTTGCTATCGCCGCTGTTAGCGACCCCAGAGGAAATCGCGATTTTTGGTGGGGTCGGGTTGGGGGGTGGGGCATATTAACGTTCGCTTGCACTTGCGTCACGAAGTTGATGCTTCGTGGTTGATGTGTGGTGGGGTGGGGTGGGGCATGTTAACGTTCGTTGCACTTGCGTCACGAAGTTGATGCTTCGTGGTTGATGTGGGTGGGGTGGGGTGGGGTGGGGTGGGGCATACTAACGTTCGCTTGGACTTGCGTCACGAAGTTGATGCTTCGTGGTTGATGTGGGGTGGGGTGGGGTGGGGTGGGGCATATTAACGTTCGCTTGCACTTGCTTGCGTGACGCAAAACGCGTCGACCAATATGTCCGCAGTTTTCAGTTTCGGTGGAGCAACAGAGAAAATTTGCTTGAGGCGTTGGCCCGAACGTGGCCGCAAGTGTAAAGAACATACACCTCCAAACGCGTATGCGCCAAAAAAGAGTGCACTTTCGGCTCTTCCCCATTCTAAATTCCACGTTACAAGTGCCGTCCCTTCTAAAAGAAATGGGATGAAAGCACACATGATCCAACCTCTCCAGAATGAGCACTGTCCACTTCGGCGCTGTGCGAATCGCACAGGGTCACTATTAGCGGCGGTACCTTGTTTTTTTTCAGAAGAGCTGATCAGTCCAGAAGCTGTATTGGCTTCAGATTCTTCCAAGAACCATAACCACCAGGATGATTCTAATCGATCTTGGGCACCGGAGGGGGTGGTTGATATCTCGGGAGCCCTCTCCAGCCCATTCCGGCAGGCAGTGAGTAGCAGCTGGGCTTAATCAGGCGTGACCCGCCGGGGATCCATCCTGAGAAAAGCGACATCAGGACCTAGCGACAGACTTGTCTGGTAGCACGGACTTGTCAGGTCAACTTGATGATCCCACATGTAAATGTCGACCTAGGATGAATCAAAGGCCCCCCCTTTGGAAGGTCAACAATTGAAGATACACTCTGACTCACTAACATGGAAGTGGACAATGGTCACTTGAAGACTACTTTCCTCTACAAACACGTGGTTTTCCACTTCCATGTTAGTGAGTCAGAGTGTATTGGAGATCAGATCCCCCTCATAAAGGTGATAACCTGATGATGGATGATGAGGTGATGACCTGAACTTGATGACGGATGACGGTTGATGGGATTCTATGTGAACCTTGAGAGGTGCATGAACAAGTGTCCAATCAGTGGTTTGATTGGGTGTTCTTTGTATGAGGTTCGGAAACTGAATGGGGAAACCAACAGTCTCGTCCATTTCACGAGACTGTTGGGAAACTATTTGGTGATAGTGATACTGTACTTTGATTGAGATGATTTGGAAAAGGAAAAAGATTGCAGGATGAAAGAGATGGACAATCAACATCAGGTGTCATGTTTTGAGGCGAAGCATGGCGGTTCGAAGACAACGGTGCCACGGAGTGCTTCGATAAGACTTGTGTTATTCCTCCATTCTTTTGTGGGGTGTAGAACCCACCCCAACTTGAAAGTGTGGTGCGAACCCCAGAGAGGGCCCAACCCCCCCCATGCTGCAGAGCGCACCCCAATTGGACCGCCTGCCACTGGGACCAACTGAAAACGAGACTGACCATTCATGCTTTCCGGATAAGCCAAGCGGTGCGGCTCCATGGTTCCATGTCACCGGCGTGGCACGCCTGCGGCGGCTCCACGAGCTTGTCGCACCTCTCCGGTGATGCGTTGAAGCAAAGCCTGCCCTCCAAAGAGATGTAACGATCCACCTTTCAATGTCCACTTGCAGCGTCCAGTTGTGGCGTTTTTGTTTGAGAACGTTTTGTTAGCCACACGTTCCTTGTTTTATCTTGTTTTGTACTTTTGGCGCACTGCACTTGCGGATGGCAAAACCCAGCAGTTCTGTCTCAAAAGAGCATGCCTTGCAGGCTGCGAGATCTCTCTGAGCGCCTTCATCCCGATGATTTCTGCGATACCACGCGGTGTTTCCCACGTGTTTGTAAACAGAGATTCCCAGCCATACCAGGTATCACAAGGGATCGCTGATTTTCCACACCGAGTGGAGATCCAGGGTGGCCCCCAAGATGAAAGAAGCTGGAGATGATCTTGGTAGTGTTCGGTCCTTAGGAGTGGTTGAGAATTCAGGGGACACCCTGGACACTGATGGCCCTGGGTCAAGCATTCCCCACGCCTTCACTTCACTTGCTTCCAGGTACCGTTCCTAGATCAGGCTGAAGTGGTGCCTACGTAGAACGCCTTTTGGATGGACAGGTGCACACTCACCACACTTCTTCGGTGGATGAGAGGAGAGTTAAGCTAAGCTGAGTAGTTGAACAGGCGTAGTTATATCATTGCTTGGCTGGTTGGTCGTTTGGCTGGCTGTCTGGCTGTCTGGCTGGGTGTTCATCCAAGAGGCCCAAGCAGACGGAGAACAACCAAGCGCATTAGCTTGGATTCATGTTGGTTCCACTGTTTAAAGCCATTGCAGGACGTAGGAACCCCCGAGGATCCTGACATCAGCCTCCCGGGGTGGCTGCTGAAATCGCCGAAGATACGCCTTGAGATATGCCCAGTTTGTTTCTCTCGAAGTTCCCGTGATCCGCAATCCGCGGTCAGAGTGGGAACACGGCGCATGGTTTTTCGTTGTGCGCTTTTCGAGCTCCGACAGAGAGTTGCACCGGACAGGATCCAGGGCAACGTGTGCAAAAAAAGGTAGTTTTCATATGTTTTCATGTGTTATTAGTGAACAGTCTACATTAGCTTTGGATGACAGCCAGGAGGCCGTGGTATATAGTCACATTTGGCCACGTGCAAGGCTTTGCATGCGCAGGATGCAGCACGATAGCACATGACCCTGTTGAGGTTCAGTTCTCACTACCTGGCTTGGTGAGATTGGATGCATCACCCGTTGATGTCTCCTTTTTGCTTGTGAGGAGCCGAGCATTAAAGCCTTTGTGAAAGGCCTGAGCCCGGAGCCCCAAGGAATGGATCCTGGCATGGTTTCGGCTCCTGGCATGGCTACTAGATGCTACTAGGAAGCTACTAGGAGCAAGGGCATCAGGGGGCTCCAACATGGCTCCAACATGGCTCGCTTCGGGTCCCAAGAGTCCTTCGGGTTGCGTTGCCCATCCTCCCAGCCCTCCATCCTTCGCCATCCGTCACCCCCTTCACCCAGATGATGAAGCCTGCGAGCTCTTCGTGGCGCAGACGGCGCTACGCATCGGCCAGGAGAAGGCGGCTTTGGGGCCGATGGCTGTTTTGGTTGGTTTTGGGGCAGTTGGGGTGGGGCCGATTTCGCCGAGAGGTCTCGTGATTTCGGGGTGTGGTAGACTCGTAGACCCTTTTTTTTGACTAATGGAGTTTCAAAAGCGCCAAGCGGCCAGGAAGTGGATGGAAGTGGCATTTTGGGATGGAAATAGCATTCAGGACGTCGGATGCTGGTGTTAGAATAGAAAAGTGTTGACATGGGCAGGAAATTGAGTGAAAGACAAACGTGTGGGTTGGGGATGGTTGAGGTGCATGCTGGCACGTCATAGAGAGCACGATTTCTTTTTTCTGTATTGTGCAGTAGACCACAATCAGTCATGGAAGTTGATGTATGTTCTTGATGTTGTTATATATTAAGCATTATTATTAAGTTATTTTCCTCAAATACCTGGAATGTTCAATTTAGGGCTCTCTCCGTTTCTTTACAGCAGGAGGAACAGAATTGAATATTGGAGGAACATGGAAGAACCAATCACCGAACGTCCGCTAAGATGATGTAAAGACATCATACTGTCCCGGTGGGATGTGAAGCTGCGTGGTATCGCGGACCGACCGACTGCCGGACGCTGCCCAGGCGGTGTCCATCGTGGCGCCGGATTTGCAGAAGATCAAGGCGCCGTTTCCGCCAGAAGCTCCACGAAATGGGACGAACGACGGGGGGGGGATGGGAGAGGAATCTCCTGGAAATCTGAGCATGGCAACTAGTAACAAATGCCCTTGTTACTAGTAGCGATGCCCTTTGCTCCTAGTAGCTTCTTGTTCCTAGTATAGTAAGGCCAGCTACATTCGTAGCGTCCTTGCTACTAGTAGAAATGCCCTTGTTACAGGCAACAATGGCAATGATTCGTCATGATTCGCACTTGCACCATAATTGCAACCTCTTGACTTAAGAATCTTCACATACTCACAATCATACATAGTATCTATTTAATACTGCATATAATTGCATATATCATATATATAATATATATATATCATATTATAATTATGTTGTTTACACATTCTTTACTATTCATGGGTCACTGGTGTCGCAAGACTCTTGGATTCTCAGGTTGGTACGTGAAGTGAGCCACTCATTGATGACTGCCATCACAGACGCTACTATCGTGGTTCTCTGAGCTGCCAACAAAAAGCACCACCAGAACAGGGACTTTGCACGTCTCATTTTGCTATAAGTATTGTGGCGTGGCCCTTGGACAAAGCAGAGTTTTGCATTCCTGCAAGCCACTGAGGCGACCAATTGCCAAACAATAGCATACGCAGCATACTTTTACGAAGAAAAGGAGGCTACACTGGCTTGATGGCAGGCGATCAGCAGAGTGTCACTAGGCGATCAACAGGATCTGTTGTCAGGGCAAAAAACCCTTTTGGAACCTCCAAATGAGTTCTTCAAGACGCGTGAATCGATGGCGAGCACAAGAATACTTCATCACAGGAATGAACAGCCCGTCGGACTCGGCGTCCAAGCGTCCCGTGCGCCAGCGCCGCTCGCGTCCCGTGCGATTCGGATCCCCTGAACAATCTCGGCCGGAGGAGGACGCCTTCGTCGTTTCGACATCCCATGGCCATGACCAAGTGACATCCAAAAAAAAAACGCCGCAGCGGCCCTGGGATGGATGGCCAATCCGAGAAACACTCCGAGTCACTCATAAATGGAAGTGGAAAACCTGTTTCTAGAGGACAAGATGAGGACAAGGGTCATCCAAGCGAGCATTCTCCACTTCCATGATTGTTCAGGTGTATATGTAGATGCGACATGGCCTGGATTGAGTCGTGTACTACGCCGCTGGATGGCTCGGCGATGGTCCTTTTGTTCGAGAGTCCAAGTCCGACCGACAGGGTGAAGTCATCTATGGCGTCACCGAAGTACGCCATGCGTGTGATGGGGTCCTGACGGCCGTGACCCACCGAAGTCGGACCGGCCGTGATCCACCAGTCCCGCGAACGACACGACACGACCAAAAACCCAGTCGATCATCGGTCATCGGTCGTTATGACCCACACCAGCTTGGAACTGCTCGCGGTCCTCCAGCCGCCTGGTTTGGGTCGTTGGTGCGGAACAGCACAGGTCATAGAGCAACTTTGGGAGGCTGATGATGTGTTGTGTCTCCCGGTTTGCAGGTTGATTTGCGGTGCAGTGAGTGGGGACCACTTGTGCGCGACGAACCACCAGGTAACCAAAACTTTAAAGAGAGAGCTGCGTGCGCATCACTTGTTCAGTAAAGACTGCTGCCAAGATCTGCCAAGCATTGAGTGAATCCAAGTGAATCCATGTGAATCCAACAAACAAAGAGTCATCATACTGTATGAATACCGACGCCCCTGAACGCATGAAGTGTTTAAGTCTTAACATTGTCGATACACGTCAAGCATCATGCAACGTGTATACATGTGATACATTCTGGTACTCCCATGCCTACCTTGTTTTCCTGAGCCACACAACTCTTCGGGCATCCAACAATCATTCTGGAGTGTGAAGATAAGTGGGGTCTTTCCTATTACCTGTAACAGTCAGTAAACAATTATCACTATTATTGTTGGACAAGGCCTTTACTAACCATCATCATCCACTGTTACAGGTGATAGGATAGACTAGACCCCAAAAGATAAGTTCTTGTCCCCATCTTGGGGTGTTCCCCAAACCCCCAAACCCCAGGCTTTCGGTTCACCCATCCTCAGGATCCTCACCCGTGTACGCTAGTGTACCGCGCGAGGCCCACCGGCAATCCATCGTCCGTCACCACGAGATGGTCCCGGCACCCGGCGACCGCCGGGTTTGGGCTGAAGAGGACCAGGTATGGGGACCAGGTGCTGGGTGAGGAGGTACTGGGGCAAGGTATCATCAGATATCATCAGTTTGGGGGGGGGGGGCGAATGTGTTGATGATCTCAAAGGGCCATGGCGGGCCCTTGCTTTGGATGTCCTGTGTGGAATGTATGGATTGCTTGCAGGAAACCATGACTTGCACCTAAACAAGCTACGGAGTTGAACCCCCTAATCAATTGTGGAGACAAAACATGATTCAGTCATGTATTCGCTCATTGCCGCGTGAAACAAATGGCCATACCTTGCCGCGCTCTGCGCGGGAGGTAACAGGGCAACCACCGGGTTTTGTGGGAACACTCCCACGAAAGCGCAGCGCTGAAAAGTAAAACACCATGTGGTCACAGACCAACCCACCACGCCATGCCGAATTGGGCTGTGGGAAATCCATTGACTGAACTCCTCCATTGAGGACGCCATCGAGACATGGCTCTATCCATCGACCGTCGCGGTCGCTCCGTGCGCCGTCGAGTGCCGCAGACGGTCCGAGGTTCAAACCGAGTTCTCCTGCGTCTCCGACGAGTGCCTCGCTTCCGCCGGGGGTTCGGCCGGGGTCCGGCCGGGGTTCGTCCTTGGCGCAAACCCCCAGTTCGAAGCGGAAGCGGCGACAACTCGGGAAGCTCTCAGAGTTGAACGGAGGTCCTGTGAAGGGAGAACGAAGTCCTGATCCTGATGGTGCTTGGTTGGTCTTGTGAATGTGCTTCGCAGGTGCTCGTGGTTCACAGGCAGAGCTCTGATTGCAGTTCATTGCTGTGCACATGTTTGTTTCTCGCCAATGCTGCTGAGCATTCTGGGTGCCTTGATTCTTGCATGTTTCTGCCAGGTGTTTCCCGTTGTTTTGCCCGCTGATTGTCCCAGTCCCCGCGGGGCGTTGGAAGACTGATTGTTTGCGGGCTTTACTTGAGCAGTTTGCATTTTTCAGACCTTTGTCAACGGAGACTTGAGATATGTGCTAGATCATGTTATTTCCTCCACTGGGGTTCACTCTGAAACACAGA